ATTAATAAATACCACCGTAGAGTTGTACTAATTTTAATGTGGAATCCAGCAATAATACTGAAATAGTAAGTTCTTTTTTTTTCGAATTTTTTTTTTAACTAGAGGCAATTACAAGAGATATGCTTAGAATTAGAAGGGGATAAAAATTCAGATGCCCAGTCCAAAATATTCAAACTTGGGCTGGTAGACCACTGGGCCACGAGGACCTGTTTGAGTTCTTTCTTTCTTTTTACGAACAACCACAGTGATAAGTTTTTTCGGTTTTATTATGGAAAAGCTATATTATTTTTTGGTGGTGCTATTGAGTTAATTTTTTTATCTCATATTTTTATATAATTTTTACATATCATTAAATGAGTAGATACATTTGATATTACGAGTTTCACATGAATTAAAAAAATCAATCATTTTAATAATACGTAAAGTTATATAAAAAATTAAAATGAAAAGGTTGTATAAAAAACATTTTTTATTATTTTTATATTAAAATTGAAATGGTATGGAAATAGCTACATGTACCATTGGGCCACAAAAGGGCTGTCTGAGTTTTATCCTTTATTATTATTATTATTATTATTATTATTTACTTGGAGATTAAGAATTAACATCTAAATTTGAGGTTAAAGGCACAATTAATTTTACTACTATATTAATGATTTATCATAATTTTTTTCAAATTTTAACAAACAATAGAGTAGAGATATAAGTTTTTTCTTTTTAATAATAAAAAAGCTACATACATCATTTTAATTTTAATAAAAATAATAAAAAGTACTCAAACTGTATTTTATTAATTAATAAATACTATCGTAGTGCTATATTTTTAATATGAAATTTAGAAATAATATTAAAATAAAAAATTATTTTATAATTTAAATTATATTAAATTATATAATAAAAATTATTAGATAAAAAAATTTTAATATCAAAAACTCTTTTTATTTAATAATTAATAAAATATAAATTGATACAATTTAAATTATATTATAGTTTTTCTTATTGAAGTAGTAAGAAGACTTATTATTATTATTATTATTATTATTATTTAAAAATACAAAATTTAGAAAAATCTCCTCAAAAACCAGCGGGCCGTGGCCCGTGATCGTGCATATCCGCAAGGACAGATAAGAACTCGTCCCAGTATCTTCCGCTGTCTACGTTCAAGATTTAAGATCAAACGCGAATAATCTCTGCTTCCAGTTTCTTCCTCCATCAAGATCCCGCGAAAATGAACGACGCAGATGTGTCCAAACAGATCCAGCAGATGGTGAGATTCATCCGCCAAGAGGCGGAGGAGAAGGCCAACGAGATCTCGGTTTCCGCCGAAGAGGTGAGATTTGTTTACGTTTTCTATCGAATTGTTTGATTTTGGATTAGGTTTACGTGTAATTTTTCAGTCTTTGATGATTTTGGTGTATTGATGTGAAATCGATTGGCGTTTTAGGAATTCAACATCGAGAAGCTGCAGTTGGTGGAGGCGGAAAAGAAGAAGATCAGACTGGAGTATGAGAAGAAGGAGAAGCAGGTCGAAATTCGAAAGAAGATGTAAGTTAATCGCTGAACTTTATTAATCTTGATTTCATGTTTTTAATTTGCTTGTCTTTTGCGGTTAATTGAGTTTGTTTAGATTAGTTAATCATTGTTAACTGTTACGAGCTTTAGATTTATATTGCAATTTCAAATGAAATTTAGCCCCAATTCTGGGAATTATGTTTATAATCAAGAAAATCTGGTTGGTATGAGTATATCTGAAATTTGAGGAGGTTGAATTTAGATTAATGTGAAACTGTAACACGATGTTATTAAGTTTAAATCTGTTTGAAGCTCTAGTATGAATACTTTTGAGACATATTACTCTCTTGCAGCGAGTACTCTATGCAGCTCAACGCCTCCAGGATCAAAGTCCTTCAAGCTCAAGATGATGTGGTAAATTCCATGAAAGAGGCTGCATCAAAGGAGCTTCTGAACGTGAGTCAAGATCACCATGTTTATAAGAGGCTCCTGAAAGATCTTATTGTTCAGGTTAGTGTACTCCCATCTTTATTTTTCATTTGCTTGGTTATACCACTCATTTAATCATGGCATAAAAGATGCTTTTCAACCTTTTAAGAAATTTAAGAATGATGAAAACTTTTGGGATGATAATAAGAGTTCTTTGAGCTGTTTCTGAGTTTGGATATGTTTGCATAAAATGCTTGTGAGGAATTTCTTGTGGAATTGCTGCAATTGTATAAAGATGGAGTAGAGGGTTTAATAAACTCTCTGCATCTAGTGTCATGCTGCATAAAGAACATGAAAGTTTTCACTGGAGAATAAAATGTTATGCTCTTATATGCACTTGAATTCTCTAACCTAACTAGTTCTTTTGATAATAATAATTCAAGCCTTGAGTTTTATTTTTGCAATGTCCAAAATTGTGTTTGTTTCTGTTTTCATGGACTGCTGACTTAATTACCATGGAATAGGAATGTAGATGGAAGTATTTGAATGGAATGGACTGGACTAATGTGAAATCAAATTTCTCTGTTGCAGAGTTTGATTAGACTGAAAGAGCCTGCTGTCTTGCTGCGTTGTCGCAAAGATGATATTCATTTGGTGGAGTCTGTACTGAATTCTGCAAAGGAGGAATACTCGGAAAAAGTAAATGTTCATCCACCGGAGATAATTGTTGACAGTGTCCATCTTCCACCTGCTCCGTCCCACCACAATGCTCATGGTCCTTTCTGGTAAATTACTAATTTTAAGGGGAAGCCAAACTCAATTTCCTTATTGATGCATCAAATACTGTATGTATAAGATTTTTCTGGTATATTATAGTTGATTTTAACAAATTTGTGATATGTTCAGCACCACATATCCATGTTAGCATTGATTCTAACAAATTTTTCATATCATTTACTGTTCAAACAGAGAGGGTAGCGTCTCTGAAATATTAAAGATTTATTGGCTTGATTTTTCATTTTGAATCTTGTCAACCATTTATTAGAGTTTGACTTGGTAGAGAAAATAGACTTGCAGCCACTATTGACAAACTGGAATTTGCTGCAATCTTATGTTCTCTCGCTCCCAACTCTTTTGTTATTTCCCTGAAGGAATAATGGAAAGTTTGTCTATAACAAAGATTGATGGATTTTGCAGCTCTGGAGGCGTAGTGTTGGCTTCTCGAGATGGAAAAATCGTGTGTGAGAATACCCTGGATGCCCGATTGGATGTAGTATTTCGTAAAAAGCTTCCAGAGGTAGTTTGCAATACTGGATCCCTGTGTTTAAATCATTTTAATTTTAAGACTTCACTAGTTACCATTGTTAGATTTCCCATAGTCAATTTAATAAATTTCCTTAGCTACTCTATTTCATATACATGCGCACTTACTGGTTTCATTGTTGCTTTAACCAGTTTTCTTCACCTGTTAATTGTGAACCATATGTTCAGTCAATCATATGGTCACAACTCGGAATTTTCTTTAAAAGCTTACTTTATATTGATGACTTGTACAACCTTTGTAGATATCATTCTGCATTATTGATTTATGCTGGCATACTTTGGCAAATATCCATTCATGAGAGCTTTAGAATTGATAATCCTATCTATTTGATTGCACTTCAACCTTCTCTCTTTCCTCTCATTGCAGATCCGCAAGTGGCTCTTTGGTCAGGTGGCTGCATGAAGTGTGAAGGATTGTACTGTTTCTCAGCACCGCTTTGGGTTTATTTAAGTCCTAAGCTTAGTTATTGGTCAATGGACATATAGAATAGTGTGAAATTGTTTGTTCATAAATATCATTTTCATCTTTGCTGAACTGTTTATTTGCTGAAAATTACTGAATCTTCCCTTTAGAAGTTTGGCGCTTATGACATTTTCGGCATGGTTGCGGAACTCTGTTCGAATAATGAGCAACAATAAGATGGCATTTGTTTATTTGGGTTTGGAACTTGGAAGTATCAAATCCGATACCACAGTACTACGCTCCCAAACGTCAAGAATAACAGTACTGCATAACATTTTCTGTTTGGGACTTGGAAGTATCAAATCTGATACCACAGTACCACGCTCCCAAACGTCGAGCATAACAGTACTACACAACACTTTTTAACATTAAAAAAGAAGTACTACATAACATTTTCTGTTTCGGTTCCTTCGTTAAACTAGAATTTCAATCGCCAGACCGAAAAAGGGGGAGAATTTTTCCATTGAAGTTCCGAGTGGTATGTATGAATTACTAGGATGAATTACTACTGGAGTAATGAATAAATGTGGGAAAAGGAGTAGGGGCGGGTGGAAACGTAAAATAATCAATTTTCATGTGTGTGAATGTAGTGTAATGCATAATTCTCCATATGGGTATCCTGGCGTAGGGTAGCCATAAAAAATTTCACTTTTTACAACTTTCATTTTTCCCGCTGTGTTGTGTGTGAATGTAAAAGGAAACAGTAGAATACTGCAAGAAAACGATGTCGTTCAAGGTTATCTCGAACTCATCGACCCGGTGGTTAAAGTGACTTAATTCTCTTCCTCTACAAGTCCGTCACTCACATGGGTCAGGGCTACTTTCCTTGCTTCATGTTTAAATTAAAACTAAAGTCCCTAAACGTTTACAAAAATCACATTTAAGTCTCTGGCATTCAATATATAAGAAATAAGCCTTTTTTATAGCATGTACTAACAGGAATGTTACCGTTAAATAGGTACTTACTGGTACCGTTTTTTCTTCCTTGCCCCAGGCTAGTTATAGGCAGAATCCTCAAATCACCCCTTGACAAATATGGGTAGGGACGGATCCACCCTTCAAAAAAAAGCAGGGACAAATGACACTCCAAAAGTATTGATTTACCCAAATTGATCATTATCTAACAGATGACGTCATCACCGTCACGATCTCCGTTTAGCCCATGCCAGCGTGTCCTTTTTTTACACGCTGGATGCTTATGTGTACGAATCTCGCTCTTTTCACACACCTAAACCTCTTCTCCGGCAAAAAACCTAAATCAGAATTTAGATTTCTCGATCAAATCTAGCTAGCAAAAATCTCATTTCCATAAGGCAATAAGAACACCCTACAAAGCCAAAATCAAGAATCCATTTCAATACTCCAGATCCCAGTACATGGACATGAGAGAAAAATCCAAACATTTGCTCATACAAATAGGAAAAACTTGACTTGTGTGCGGCAATTTCCAAAGGAGAAAAGGAGGGATTAGGTTGATCATCCTGCACTGTGTCCGAAAACCCAGGTCTCCAAGTCTTTACTGCAGCGACAGGGGTGGCGGCGGCGAGGCAACCATAGATCTAGGTCTTTCTCCGTCAAGAAGCAACCCAGATCTGGGCTCTCGCGGTCAACACCAAAGAATCTTGGTTTGGGTGGACATCAGAGGGCCTACATCTCTTGAAACCCCCAGCGGATTAGGTTGATCATCCTGCACTGTGTCCGAAAACCCAGGTCTCCAAGTCTTTACTGTAGCGACAGGGTGGCGGCGACGAGGCAACCATAGATCTAGGTCTTTCTTCGTCAAGAAGCAACCCAGATCTAGGCTCTCGCGGTCAACACCAAAGAATCTTGGTTTGGGTGGACATCAGAGGGCCTACATCTCTTGAAACCCCCAGCCTTTTTTCTTTTTGTTCTCCTTACCTTTGCCGTTGCTAACAAATCTGATTTAGAAAGAATTCATCTTGAGGGGGACATTAGAAAATTGTATAATGTTTATGGAGAAGAAGAAGAAGAAATAGCAGAAAAAAAAAATTAGGTGAAGTGGGAAAGATACCTGCTTTTTGAGGCAAAGCAATCCAGTTGCCGCCGATGCCATGGGTCTCAATGTAGCGTTTGAGGGTGGCGTCTTCTTCCGGGGACCAAGGTCCTCTCTTGACGTTAGCTTTGTCACAGCATGGAGCTCTTCCCATGATCCCTGCAAGCTAGTTCTCTCTTGCAGTGCTGTCCCTGTGAACCAAACGAGGACAGAAAGAAAAGGACAGACAGAGAAATGGGGAGAAGAAAACTAAGACACACAAAGAAGAGGTTTAGGTGTGTGAAAAGAGCGGAATTGGTACACATAAGCATCCAGCGTGTAAAAAAAGGACATGCTGGCATGGGCTAAACGGAGATCATGACGGTGATGATGTCATCTGTTAGATAATGATCGATTTGGGTAAATCGATACTTTTGGGGTGTCATTTGTCCCTGCTTTTTTTTTATGGGTGGATCCGTCCCTACCCATATTTGTCAAGGGGTGATTTGAGGGTTCTGCCCTAGTTATAAACCGGGCTTAAATGTCACTCATAGTTTAGGGGCATATATCAATTTTTAATAGAAGTTTAGAGCCTATTTGGTTTAAGGTCAACTTTATTAA